CCACCAGGGGGCAGATGCTCAATGCAGGAGCTGCCCCTGGTGGTCAGTGCACTCCCACAGGGGGAGCGCACTCAGCTATTAGCGGGGCTCACGGCTGGCGAGCGCAGTGGTGGTGGCAGGAGCCTCTCCTGCCTCCGCGGCATCACTAAGGACTTCTGACTGACAACTTAGGCCTGCTCCCTATGAGCCACCAGTCGGATATCCCCCAAAGGTTCCCGGACTGCGAGAGGGCACAGGCCGGGTGGAGGGGACACCCCCCAAGTGCATAAATTTCGTGCACCGGGCCTTTAGTAGTATATAAAGAAAGGCTGGCCTCACACAGATATAGATGAAAAACCTTTTCAGATAACTATGTATATTCTTCTAATACAACACCTTAAGTAAGGGACAGTTTTTTAAAAGGATAGCTGAAAACCTTTCAATGAACTTTTCATACTCTGCTACAGTATTAAAATGGATTAGTCTATTTTCATTTGAATATACCTTTTACCCATGCAGGGCTTGTAACATCACACACTGGTCATTGAGAAATGCCGGTTCACTGAGTTATGCAGGTTTTTCAAACGTTGACACAGTTCATCACACAATATCAAAGAAGCACACTCGTCAACGTCAGCAGTGATCTCATCAGGAAAGGCTCTACGTATTAGAAAGCTGTCAAGCTTACAGTGGCAGACACAAGTTTTTCAAAATTCTAATTTTTGCTTGAAAGCTAGGCTTTTACCATTGGCAACAAATACTGACAGGTGTTTTCCTTGAAGTGATGGGCTGGCTTTGTTCTTTTTTTTTAAAACCAAATGTCCAAGTCTGAATAATCATAGTTTGTGAGACATTCTTGCAAGTAAAAATGGTGTTAGGTGAAAAAGTGGCTAGTTCAGCTTGCAACTCCATCGCACAAGTGTTTCTCCTCGAGACAATCATCACACTAAATTATTAGCAGTAGAGCTTCATTCTCCCCATTCAGTCATCCAGAATATTAAACAGATGTGTGGTCAAGGGTTGAGACTTAATAAAGTTAATAATTTGTACTGCTTCAAGGACATTCTTAAGTGAACATGGCACTTCATATTGTTTTCCTCCTGTGAGTGTGTTGGTGAGGAACGTGGGCACTGGTGCAGCACGGCCCTATGAATGAGCCAGGCACCAGGAGTTTTAGCTACCACTGCTTTTGCAGCATCTTTCCAATTGTCAATATGAAGCAGTCGAATACTAGTAATATCGTAATATTATAAAAATAAATTTGACCTTGTGGACTCCCTGAAAGGATCTTGAGAACCTCAGTCTATGAACCACACCATGAAAAACACTGTTCTAAAAAGTGTTTAATAAGTGTTCTTGGGTCCCTTAACGAATAAATAAAACTTTATAGGAAGCAGGGAGGTTCTGGATAAGATATGTCTTCAGTTGGGCCACCAAGACCACATAGGACAGCGGTTCTCAACCTGTGGGTCGCGACCCCTTTGGGAGTCGAACGACCCTTTCACAGGGGTCACCTAAGACCATCGGAAAACACATATATAATTACATATTGTTTCTGTGATTAATCACTATGCTTTAATTATGCTCAATTTGTAACAATGAAATTGGGGGTCACCACAACATGAGGAACTGTATTAAAGTGTAGCAGCATTAGGAAGGTTGAGAACCACTGACATAGGATGTTTAAGGCAGGGAAGGCTGGGAGGAGCACACGCAAAGCTGAGGAGCTAGAAATGCACCGGGAGCTTGCCCAGAGCAGAAGAATAAGAAAATACAACTTCAGGTGACCAGCACCTTGCACACAGCAGAGCACGGTCACGCCCGCCATCTCTATCAATTCCCTGCAATCGCCCAGTGAAAGGGCGAGGATGAGCACCCCTCTGGTACAGAAACGGACACTGAGGTCAGCCTGGGGCTCTGTGAAGGCAGAAACCCTGCCTGTTTTCTTCGCGAATGAATATTCAAAACCCTCACACAGTGACTCGCACCCATAAGGCACACAATCAATACTCTCTGAATAAGCAAACAAATAAGGTTCTGATAAATTAATGATCTGCTCAAGATCACGCAGTTGGGAAGTGGCGGCCCCGGGGCTGAACGCAGGTCTTGCGGCACCAAATCCCACGTTGTTCCCACCCTGCATACCCTGATGTCCAAAGTGACAGAAACCAGGGCCATGCTCTGAGGGGCCTGGATGTCAGTACAAGTGGTTTATGACCCAAGGAATTTGTAGTGAGGGAGTTACATGATCACATCCGTGCTGTAGAGGATTAAACCGAGCAGGTCTGGGAAGGCTTGAAGTGGGGAGAAGAGGAGCAGAGACCGATCTGGATTCTTTCAGGGGTCTAGGTCAGTGTTCGGCAAACTGCGGGCTCTCGAGCCACATGCGGCTCTTTGGGCCCTTGAGTGTGGCTCTTCCACAAAATACTGACTTCTGCGCACGGGCCACGAAGTTTCAATCGCACTGTACATGCGCACGCCGACGTGGTATTTTGTGGGAAGAGCCACACTCAAGGGGCCAAAGAGCTGCATGTGGCTGGGGAGGAAATGCGGAAAAAGGCCTCTGGGTGAAGGTTTGCCGGGGGGGGGGGGTGGGGGGCTCCAAAAAACCCCCTCCCAGAATTTTCCCCCCAATTCTGGGATTTTAACTGTGCGAATTGGGACAAGTTACCCTTCCTGTTTGACCCTTACTTTCCTCGTCTGCAGAATCAGACAATGTCATTTCATCAAGTTGCTGTGAAGGCAAAATGGAAAATATGCACACAAAGCAGCAGCACAGTTCTTGGCTCAATAAATATTAACTACAAAAGAAAAAAGGAGGAAAGGTGAGAGGGAGGAAGGAAAGGGGGCGGAAACGAAGGGGGAGGAGAGGGAAATATCTGTTGAATGCCTGAGTGAACCTGGGCGGTGCCAGAGAGCTAATCTATAAGCCGTTCTTGTGGTTTCTTACGGAGAAAAGAAGGCAAACACATCAGATCATTCTAAGGTTTCAAGCCTGGGTGCCCAAAGAATGAGCTGATATGCAGGTGCTCACAGGGCATCCTAATGGAGGAGCCCAGAAGGCTGGTCCCGCAGATGCCAAAGAATCAGACTTCCAACAAGGATCTGGAGGGCCTTTGCGGAGAGGGAACGGACAGTCAGGGAAAGGCACCAAGTAAAGGATCGATTCACGTCTATGTGGCATGTAAACGAGGGCAAATGGGAAAAAGAAAACGGGATCGGGGACACGAAAAGGAAGCACCTGTCTAAAGCCGTTTGCTGGCTCCAAACCCTTGTCTGCAAGGCACATTCAGGCTCTGTCTCCAGTCCCCAGCCAGCCACTCCTGCTGCTCTGCCAAACCCGACATCTGATGCTCTCGCGGCACCGGACTCCACATACTCTGTTCTCACCGCCCGCGAGGCACTCACTGCTTCCCAGAAGCACAGTGTCTTGAAAAGTGGCACTTGTGGCACTTATTATTTTGAAGGCCATATATTAAGATGGTGACAAAATAAAACTAAGCCATCATTAGGGCCACAATCAAGTGTTCAAAGTGGGACATTTGAAGCCCTGGTTCCCACACTGCCCCGGGGTTGTCCTGTCTGCTTCCTCTCCCTGCCCTGTGTCCTCCACGCCCCATCACACTCGCCTCTCCCTGACTCCACACCCAAGCTCCCACTGGCTTCCTTCTGCCCTCCACTCTTTGGTCTGTGTCCTGCTGTTGGAGAATGAGGTGTCTCTCTCTCTACTAAGATGTGACCTTGTCCTGGACATCTCAGTCCCAGTGTGACTGAGTGGACCAGGAAAGCAGACAGAGAAAGAGCCATAAGAGGAGCGGCAGACAGAGGATGGGGTACCACTGGCCGGCAGGATAAGGAGAGGCCAAGGATGCAGGTAGAGAAGCTAGAGGATTTCACAAATAGAAGACTGTTACAGCTCTAATACAAGCAGTCGCATTGGGAGGGGTTTTGGGGTGAGAGGAGTAAAAACATTCTTAGATATTATAATAATGTATGGCCCTCTAATGTTTAACCCTAACCCCATACAAATCTTATGCCTTAATATTTAATAATATTTCCCTTAATATTTAATTTCTCTTCATTAGGGAGAAATTCAAGTTAATTTAAATTTAAGCTAATTAATTAACTTAAAACGTATTTTACCTTTTCTTCTATGGGGTGATAATAAAAAAAAAAAGGTGAGAAGGGAAGCACTGATTTATTACAAGGTGGTTCTGCGCCCACCAGGACTGAATGCAGGAGACGTGGGCGGAGGAAACAGCGGTGATAATGACTTTTCCTCCTTCCCTTCCCTGAGCCATAACTTCACTGAGCACTCACCGCGTTCAGTGCTTTAGATGTTTTATTTTGCTTTTATCCTCACAACAACCTTTTGAAGTTTGTTCCCTTCTTACAGATGCTTGGAGAATGGAGGTAGCTTATCCAAGAACCCACAAGTGGTCAGCGGTACCTGAGGCAAGTTTAGTACTTCGCCCAAGCCGGACACTTGTAGGAGTGTAATCATCGCAACTAGGAGCAGAGCTGGCAGGCCTGAGCACACTGGTGGGAGAGGGGAGGAAGTTGCTGAGTACGTGGTGAGTATATAAAAAAAAAAGAAAAAAAAGTTATTTGAATGAGAGTAGGAAAGCAAAAATGCAACTGGGAGAGAAGACAATTAATGGGGAAGGAATCCAGGCAGGGGACATGATAGGTTCCAGGAGGAAGGGCTGGCCTTGGAAAGCAGCAGGGCAGGAGAGACAGGGAGGAATCAGAGAAAGCGGCTCAGGGCTGTGGGCAGGTGATGCTGGCCATCCAGCCGCTGAAGGCAGGATTCCTGCATGGATTCCTGATGGAATCCATCAACAGGACGGCATTACTTTCTCCAGCAACCTTCTTGAATGAGAACCAGTTAATGACTATTATGTCTCCCTCCTTCCCTAAGCCCAGACTTAGACAAGGCAACCAGACACTGTGCCTTAGTGAAATTCCTAACTTTTTTTTTAGTATGAAGACAAGTTCTTAGCACCAAAAACAAAAACACAACTTTCCAGACACTCAGGAATCGTAGCTGTCAGTTTAGTATCCGTTGTGTGAGAAGATGCTCGGTGCACGTGAAGTTGTATTAAGCTGAGACACGTAATCTGACTTCATGGTGTCTTTATCACAAAAATACATTTGCACAGCAGCCACCCTACAGGTGAGGCATTCAGTCTGAGGTCCAGGCTTGCTTTACATGCAGATTGGCAATCCCCTTGCAATAAATCTGCCCCCGTCCCCACCTTGGACCATAACTTGGGGACAACTGATGTACAGAAGAAAGGCAAGTAATGTCCCAGATTAAAGGGATCTGGCCCAGACCTCTGCTCAAATTCCAGTTCTCTGATGATCAGCAATTTAAAGACAAGTGAGTTACTGAAACCCAGTATGCTTCAGTTTTCTCCTTTATGAAATGTGAATGGCAATACAAGGTTTTTAGCTTCAGATGAGACGGAATTGATCACATCTAACACAGTACCCAATACACAATAGGTCATTCATAATATTATTTCTGTTCTCTAAAATCAGTGGTTCAGTATTCAAAGTGCGATCCTGGGCCAGCAGCAGCAGCAGCAGCATCTGGGAAGTGGTTAAAATACAAATTTTCAAGCCTCAATTTAGACACACCAACACCCCAGGGGGTGGGCCTAGCAATCTTTGTTTTAACAAGCCCTCCGGGTGATTCGCTAAAATTTGAGTGGCGCTGCTTTAGAGTACTGGCTTTCAACATTTTCATCTTGTAAGCAGAGGAATCCTTTCTTCAAATGGGATCTTCTCCAGAGGACTGATTTGTGAAGCATGTACACTTGAAACAGCTCTGATGGCACTGGGTAGGCAGAGAGCTCCACATGTACCCCGGGTCCTGCCCCATTCCCCGCAGCCATCCCCAGGGACCTCAGGGGCAGGAAACAGTGGTCTTCGGCATAGTTACAGACGCTACAATTTTGGGTGGCACCGTGAAAAGAATTAAAAGCCTCAACACAACACTGAACCATGCGACCATAATTACAGGGCAAATGCTGCTGAGGTAAAAGAATGCTTCCCTGGGTGTGAAAGGGCATCTGCAGCTAAGCCGATCTGCACTGGGTCACCCGCCAGACCACGCTGCTGGCCCCACTCCACTTACACGCTTGGGGGCCAACTTCTAACAAGTGCCAACCTAGCAACTATCTTCTTTGGCCGCAGCTTGATGTTACACCGCCCGCAGCCCAGAGCAAGTTGTACCCCACTCACATCAGGTCAGAAGACCCATTTCATCTGTGGTAGCAAAAATACATTCTATGCCTTGATTTTTTGATCAAGAGACCGCCCGCCAGTGAGCTGTGGGTACACAGTGGAGAATCACTACCTGGGAATAAGGTTTGAGAACTTAGGAGGCAGAGGTATAACCAAGGAAACCATCCTGAGGGGGTGTATTTGTTTATTGAAGAACACACGGTACTGTGTATTCCACACGGGACTTACGCAGGCTGATGTGAGAAAATACGCAAAAGAGAGAAAAGCCAGTAAGGAGAGCCTTAGTTCTTTTTTTGGGGGGAGGGGGGGCAGAAAGATCTGCTTTGGCTTCTCAGATGAAAACAGCAGAGTGTGAAGTGATAGGCAAAGAATGCCTAGTTAAGCAAGATTATTGTGAAAAACTAGCTTCCACTGATCAAATCAGTTATCTGTCATCAGTACCATGACTTCCAGCTCCTGTTTCATACGGACTGTGTTATTATTGTCTCTACTCTGACAATGAGGATAACCTTGACATGGTAAGTTCACCAACTGCAGCATCTAAGAGAAAAGAAAACCCACCCACCACTTGTATCAAAACCAACAATATTCTGAGACACCGAAGACTATTTTTTAAAAAGTTGCCACAGGGAGCTCTTCTCACTGATTTTCTAATTTGAGCCTCTCCCAGTATCATCGGGGAGAGGGGGCAGGAAGGGAGGATGACAGAACAGGTGTTAATTTCAGGTGACAGATGGGGAAACTGAGGCACAGGCAGGCTAGGTGCTCTGTTGAAGATCACACTGCTGATCCGTGGAGAGTCAGGTCCATAGTCATCATGAGGTCTTGGCGAGAGATCTGGTCCAACACCCTTATTTTGTAGAGGAGCCACCCTTCATCCAGAAAGGGGCGGTGACTGGCCCAGGGTGATTCTCCTGCTTTGGCCCAGACCGGCTGTACCTGAGCCACTGGAAAAGGGAGCCTCCCACCTGGTGAGAATGAGGCAGGCGGTAAGGACAGGACTTTGCTCCTTCTCAATGTCTCTAAAGTTGGGCTCTCTAACATGACAACCACTAGCCACATATCCCTATGCAAATTTAAATTGTTTGAAATATATTTTTATTGATTGCAGAGAGGAAGGGAGAGGCAGAGAGAGATAGAAACATCAATGATGAGAATCACCGATCAGCTGCCTCCTGCATGTTCCCTACTGGGGATCGAGCCCGTGACCTGGGCATGTGCCCTGACCGGGAATCAAACTGTGACCTCCTGGTTCAGAGGTCAACACTCAACCACTGCGCAACACGGGCCGGGCTTAAATTTTAATTACAATTAAATAAAGCAAAATAATACTTCTCAGTTAACTAGCCACGTTTCAAGTGCTCGGGAGCCACACGTGGCTGGTGACTACCACACTGGCCAGACTGAGCACTGCCATCACTCCGGGGAGCTCTAGGGCTCAGAGCTGCTCTCCAGCATAGGCTCCATGACAGGACGGCGTTGGCGGGAAAGAGCAGTGGGACCTGGAATTGGAATCTTGGGGGCAGTACTAGTAATTACTTCTATGAACTCAGGCAAATCTCTGAGCCTCAATTCCCTCATCTATCAAAAGCAGAAGCTGGGCCCCATAATTCTGTACCTAAAACTCCAGGTGGCAGATTCCTGACTCCACCCACTTTTCTATCCTAGGACGTCCCTGCTGACCCCTTGTCAGATTAGATCCACAGAATGCACGAGGTCTTTAGCATTTCCTGTAGAAACACAGTCACTGAATGAGAATGAAGTAAGGAGCATCTTTCTCATTATTTCAAGGTTAACATAAGAAACGGCCACAGGACAATCTCTCCAAATATTCCCCAGGAAGAACTTCTGAAGATACTAAGGGACCTTTCCCCAATGTCCTTCACATAAGGACCTCCTACATGACCCCTTGGTTGGAGTTTAGGGCCAGAACGACAGTGTATTTCTCCAGAAAGCTGATACACTTCCCTTCACCACAGAAGGAAACTACATTGTTCGCTCTGAATTTGGAGTGGGGAGGGGGCACTGGATTCCCAGGGGATGGGATGGCTATGCGTCAGTCAGTGCCTAAGCGCAGGCCCCATCTCCACCGCACCCGTACCCAGAACACGGATGGGTCGCCTACAGAGCTCCTGATGGCTTCCGAGGCTGGAGCTCCACCCCACTGAATAGACAGGGCGTTCCCCCAAAATGTATACATACTTTAACAGCCGACAGCTCAATTTTTAAAATGAGATGCATTTTAATAAACACTGCCTTTATAATTATTCAAAGTGTATGTATACATTTGGGGGGACACCCTATATATTTTCAGCAGAGGCCACATCTACATCTAACACTTTTTCAAAGTACAGCTAGAATGATAGCATGTTTAAAAATTAAATAGTTCAATGCCCTTCCCAGGACACCGCACTACAGAAATATAAATGTGGAGTGCAGTGAGAATAAAAACAACACGAACCTCAAATCATCGAGCTGAACAGAATCGCTTACTGATCCTGGCAGAATTCGCAAAAGACTGGCTTGGGGGCACTTGGGCATCCTCCTCCCCACCTATGGGCCTCTCCAATTAAATTCCAATTAATTAAAACAACAAAGGCAAACACTTACTGAGTGCCTTAGTTCCCTTCGTGTCAGGCACAGTTCTAAGCACTTTATGTATTGTAACTTATGCGTCACAGTAACTCCAGGAAGAAGGCGCGTTATCTTCTCCATTTTCCAGGAGACAGAACTGAGGCCTTGAAAGGTTAAGTTCCAGCTTGTTCAAGGTCACATAGTAGCAAGTGGCAGAGCTGGGATTAGTCTCTGTCAGCCAGGCTCCTGCTTCCTGCCATGACAGAGCACTGTTTCACCTTATAAAGTATAAATTTAAAAACACCTTTAGGAAACATTACAATAGCTTGCAAAGTTTTAAAAAATGTTGTATTTGCTAATTAAGTAAACACCCCTTTCAGGCTGCCAACCCTGAGCCCTTCCTGTTTAGAAATTCTGGAGAGCACCAACCCTTTAATTCTGTCACTTTCCCAACAATTGCTCAAAAGTTCCTCAACACTGTTTTCTGGTGAAATAACCAAAAAGCCTGCATTCAGCGCAACCATCAACTGAAGGCATATTAACTCCTAGTGAAACGGTTCCTACCTATGACAACTCTATACTGAGCAAGGGCAAGGCACAGACAATTGAGCAAGGAACTTGATAATCCCAGTGTCGCAGCTGTTGTGAGTCAGTTTAACAACAAATCTGCATGAGCAATTGCTCGGCTCTTTAGAAACAGGGTACCTGCCAGGAAGCAGTTCCACTTCCTCTTCTCT